CTCAAAGGATCTTAAAATTGGCCTACAGGAATAGGAACTAAAGTCATAATCTGAGAAAAGGAAACTTAAAAGCTTAAACAAAACTTAAAAGTTTTCTATGAATGCTTATTACTGTTTAAATCTTTTTGATGGAAATTGTATCATCTTAAATGTATGTTTTATCCAAACAAGTCTATTCTAAAAATCAAATAGTAGCTGTCACACTCTTGGATAATGGGCTGCACGGTTATCATGACAATGACCATGGGCTGAAGCAAATGGAGTTTTGGCATGTAACGAAACTAGAAAAACGTCCTGCCTGACTAGAGGCAGGGCAATAAAACTATTATGGTAACTTAGTTTCTAATCTTAATCCTAGGAGAAACTGCCTTTGGAAACAAGAGCTAACTAACCAGTCTACCAGGAAATAGAAGTTAAAAAATATCTAGAAAGAAGTAAAACTTAGAAGGGACAAGGTCATATAAAATATTTCTGCTATGCAACTTTCCATCAGGTGTATAGAGATTTACTTATAAGTTTTACTGCCATGTATGCACACTGGTCACTAATCACACGCCAATATTATAGGTATAACTGATATCCTATGTCAGAGGCGATCTTCCAGATGGGCCTTTACAGGCCTCAGCCATGTAGCTATAGATATTGGCTCCCAACAAGAATTGTCTCCTAAAGAAAACCACTCCTTGATCTTGGCTCTCCCTGTCAGAATTGTATGCACTCTGTAACATCTTTGGTCGTGGTAGTCTTGTTTTCCTGATAACTTTGTTAATGTATTGTGAAAGATTGAAAAATTGAGTATGTTGTGTATATGATAAATTGTGAATTGGTGGGATGTATGTAACGGCTTATCAACATTTGAAGATACTGGTACTTGATACCTCTTAAGGAAAATTTACCTCCAAATTTTAAGCTGGAAAGTCACTGGAATAGCTTTTTAAAAATAACGATACATGGCTTTTTCAATTTTCGGTACGTATGTTAAGAACTGTGTACAAATTGAAATGTCTGTGTACTGATCCTCAACACAATCAATAAACTCAATTATGAAAGACATTCAAAAAAAAAAAAAAGAAATGATCTGTCCACACAATGCTCTGCTGGTCACATGACTAATGTATAGGTACCAACAACTCTGGACTGTAAAACCGGAAGGGTGAGTAGAACCATTTTAGAAAGACCTTGACTCTGGCTCTGCTCTTGGGATTCAAACTCAGAAATAAACTTCTTTCTACCAGGCAAAAAAGAGATGTGAAAACAAATTTGTTTTCTCTGCTTCACATTGAATTATAAAGTGGTCACTATTTATTTAGCCTACTTAGAAATTTCAAAGTTTATTTTTTTTGAGTTGGAGTCTCACTCTGTCGCCCAGACTGGAGTGCAGTGGCCGCTCCCGGCCACCGCAGCCTCGACCTGCTGGGCTCCGGCGATCCTTCCGCCTCAGCCTTCCAAGTAGCTGGAATTACAGGCATGCGCTACCACGCCCAGCTGATTTTTTGGTTTATTGTAGAGATAAGGTCTCACTGCCCAGGCGGGTCTCGAACCCACGGGCTCAGGCAATCCACTCACCTCAGCCTCCCAAAGGCGCGGGATTACAGGCTGAGCCACCGAACCCAGCTCAAAGATTTTTTTAAATGAAATTTAATACTGTTCAGAAAGCATAATGAAGTTTTAGTTCACAGTAGATGCATCTAGTTACATTTTAATTAGTACATTCCATTTTGGGCTTAAAAACTGGACAATATCATTGAGGGTATTTTGGTGTTATTTTTTCTTTCACTTTGTATAATTAACATAATTGGTTTTATGACTTTACTGGGCCAATTTGTTCAGGTGAAAACTTAGGAGACATTATATGTTAAGGGTTTGTTCTGTGTTTTGTTTATTTTGTGTAGACATTAAAAGTGAATAAACACAACACAGTGCTTGGTGTATAACAAACTCCCTAATTAGTAATAGATATTCCCCTTAGAGTGATTTTTTGGCTGTAGGTAAGAGACAGAAAATATCCAGAGTGAAGAAATGGCATTGATTCTATGCAAATAGTCCATTAATCTATTTTGTGACTGGGCACAGTGGCTCATGCCTATAATCCCAGCTTTTTGGGAGGCCAAGTTGAGAAGATTTCCTGAGCTCATGAGTTTGAGACCAGCCCCAGCAACTTGGTGGGACCTCATCTCTACAATAAATAAAAAAGTTTGCTGGGTATGGTAGCACCTGCCTGTAGTTCCAACTACTTGGAAGGCTGAGGTGGAAGGGTCACCTGAACCCAGCGGGTCAAGGCTGCAGTGGCCATGAGCATGCCACTCCACTCCAACCTGGGTGACAGAGCGTGACTCCAACTAAAAAAAAACAAACAAAAACCCACATATTTTGTAAGTTGTGTGTATTACAAACTGTATTCTTACAATAATGTGACCCTATTAACCCAGAAGAAAACCAACTACTGCATGTTCTCATGTATAAGTGAGAGTTAAACACTGGGTATACAGAGACATAAAGATGAGAAATGCAGACGCTGGGGATGTGTGAAGTGGAGGGAGGGAGCCATGCAAGGGTTGAAAAATTGCCCATTGAGCACCATCTTCTGTATTTGGGTGATGGCTTCAACAGAACCTCATCATCACACAGTATGCCCATGTAACAAACCTTCACAGGTACCCACTGAATTCACAAGAAAAAATAAGAGAAAAAAAAAAAAGCCAGGTGCAGTGGCTCAAGCCTATAAACCCAACACTTTGAGAGGCCAAGGCAAGAGGATTGCCTGAGCCTGCAGGTTCGAGACCAGCCTGGGCAACATAGCGAGGCCTCATCTCTACAATAAATCAAAAAATTAGCTGGGCATGATAGCCCGCGCCTATAGTTCCAGCTACTTGGAAGGCTGAGGTGGAAGGATCACCTGAGTCCAGCAGGTTGAGGCTGCGGGGGGCTGGGAGCATGCCATTGCACTCCAGCCTGGGTAGAGTGTGACTCTAGCTCAAAAAACATTTTATATGTATATTTATTATTCATTAAATGAAAATCAGTAATCATAAAGTTCTTCATCCTGTGTTTCCTAAATAATTTAATAACAGAGTAATCTAGATTTTAGAACTACTTAAAATGTGATGGGCCTTCCATTACCTATTATTATTGGTTACACCTTTTTCATAACTGATTTGTCCACATGACTCTGAACACTCTGAAAGGCTCGGACATCTCTCCCTGACATGGGTGAAAGAAAGACCTGCACAAAACCAACACACTATAAGGTGATGTCTCCCTGCACTTATGTGAGCTTCAGTCTCCAGGAAGACACAGCAAGGTTACATCTCTGGCTTTTATATAGCAGAGTGCTTTTTCATATATGTCTTATTCTATTTTTAATTGTATTACCTTGGTTTCTCAGTCTATTAAGAAAGTCACCACCACACTACTTTACTTTCCAAGTCCTGATTACATATGATGTCATCTGTTTTTCTTTTCAGACATTTTGTGGATTTTTAATTCAATTATTCTTTGTAAGAAACTTTTTTTTTAAGTCAGAGTCTCTGCTGCCCAGGCTGGAGTACAGTGGCATGCTCATGGCCACCCCATCATCGACCTGGCAGACTAAGATAATCCTGCCTCAGCCTTCCTAGTAGCTGGAACTATAAGTGTGTACTACCACACCTGGCTAATTTTTATTTTTATTTTTTGATATATTTTAGAGGGGAGGTCTCACTAAATTGCCCAGGCTGGTCTAGAACCCCTGGGTCCAGGCAGTTCTCTCATCTCAGCCTCCCAAAGTGCTGGGATTACAGGTTTCAGCCACCGCCCCCAGTCTATAAGAAAATTTCTGTCCAGAGCACAGCTGATATCAATGTCAGTGTCAAACTGAATTTATAAACTGATTAGAAGATTATTAACTTATGACACTGTGGAATCTTCCTTCCCAAACATGCAGTGTAATTATTTTGTATTTGTACTATTTTTCATGTTTTTCGAAGATATTTTACAGTAATTATTAATTGGATTTTTAAAATCTAATTTTTTGTAGAAGCCTCACAGTATCTTTTTAAATCTATTAACATGATCATATGATATTTTCATTGACTTAGTGTGACTGATTGTATTAATGGATTCCCAAATGCTGACTCTCACTTGTTTTCCTGGTGTGAAGGGCACTGGATCATGATGTAATTAATGTTGGTGTACTAGCAATGTTTCTAATAATCTTTACATTTATGTTCAAATGTCCTTAAGTCTCATATTAGGCCAGGTGTGGTGACTCATGCCTATAATCCCAGCAGTTTGGGAGGCCATAGTGAGAGGATTGCCTGACCCCACGGGTTCAAGACCAGCCAGGGTAACTAGGTGAGACTTCATCTCTACAATAAGTCAAAAAATTAGCCAGTCATTGTAGCACATGCCTGTAGTTCCAGCTACTTGGAAGGCTGAGGTGGAAGGATCA